AATTTAGATTTTGATCGGTATAATTTAAACGACCAACAAGTAATGGACTCATTTTTAAATTTTGTAAAAGATAGAGACAAAAGAAATGTGGAAGCATCGAAGAGCCTTTTGATTTATCCATTTTTAGAACCGCGGCAGAATTCGGGGAGCTACTTGGACATTAACATACCTCTGCATTTCAAAAAACTTTTTGCGCAGATCAGATTGCTTAATAGGTTTAACACTAGACTGATCTTTGATCAGAAATTGTATAAATTCCCTGAGAATAAAATTTGCGAATTCTGTAGAACTGGGCCGGAAAATCTTTTTCACATCTTAAATAACTGCCCAGCATGTGCGCATCTGGTACAAGATGCTTTCGCCTATGGAAAAAATGATCCTTATCCGGCAGAGGAATGGTATAATGTAATCTCGTCGAATGAGCGTTCAACCATAAAGAAATTTGTTAATGTTATTTCGAAAATCTTAACTGAGCGAATACGAATGAGAGAATAAATGAAAGTAATTCAATTTAGAATAAAAGAAAATTGTAGTTTTTTTTTTCTCTTTTTGAATGGAATTGAATATTTTAAATCTAATAATTGTGTGAATCGAGTGTTCCTAATTTTAATATTTGTAGCATCTAATTTTATCTTGTAAATGTAAGAATATGTAGCGCAACTCACTTGTATACACGTAAAGTGTTGAAAACAAGTAAATAAATAAAATAATAAAAATGTAGAACGAAGCAGAGAAGATAAAATAGAATACAAATTTGTGAAAAAAATGTTATTTCGGAAATTTGAATTATTAATTAAATAAAAAACTAAATGTATTTATTTAATACAAGTATTAAAATAACGAATATCATGAAACTATAATAAAAATTCATGTATTTTTTTTAATCTCTTGCCTGATATGTTTCTCTCTTTTTTTTATTTTCTTCAAAGTATTTTTTGCCCGCCTAAGTGATTCGTGAAAAATGATTTTGAAATCATAAAGCGCAAAAAAAGCGGAGAGGATTGTGACAAGGAAGATAAAGAGGGTTCAGATGGGATGGGAAGATACATTTACAGAATGAAACAGAGAAGATGAAATAGAACACAATTGGGATAAAAAGGACGACAAGAACCGGAAGGACATATATATATATATATATATATATATATATATATATATATATATATATATATATATATATATATATTTAATTTCGTAACCCTTGCACTATAAAAAATTTCTTTTTTATTAACGTAGACGAAAGAAAATAATGATTTGCAGAATTTGTATTTTCTATGTATTTATTTAATTTTTAAAATTTATTACTTTAATAGTAAATTTATTTTCCGCTTTTGGGAGAGATTAAACATAGCTGATATACAATCTTAAACCCAAAAGTTCTCTGACAGTGAATAGTGTCAAGCTCATCATATTTTTTGTCAATGTGTTAAAATGTGTCATTATTGGGTCGAGCTGCATTCCAATATTGGCAATTATAATTTGACATTACAAATAGAACATTTTATCCATTAATGTGCCTTTCTTCGGCTATGCTACGTCCCATTACTGGCATTCATAATTTGACAGCAAAGATACAAAATTTTAACCATTAATGTGCCATTATTGAGCCGAGCAATATCGCATTATTATATAAAACACGGTAAAAATTTTTTTCCTTAAGTAGAGATAACAATCACTATAGTAGCTAAATGATTCGCTAATCTGGTTCTATCGATAATCCATTTTTACTGATCCAGCAAAAATGATATTTCTTGCGTCACATTCTGTTAATTATCTCTTATACTATTGACTAATAAAATGTAAAATTAGTAAATTAATAGGGGGCAGTTGTCAGAGTTGGACAGGGTTTAGGGTTGAGCGACCGCGTTTATTTCATTTTATCACACTAGCGCCATCTACATTTGTACGTAAATTCTTGCTACTAACTGTCAGCCATCTTTTCATATGAGTCGCAATTAAGTACAGTCAACTCTACGAATAGTGCCGCTATCAATAGTGCCACTTCTCCTCTTTCTCGCTCGAGCTCTATCCCCACTTTAGTGACTCAGCACAGCTTCTGAATTTTGAGTTTCCCCTAAGAGAGAAATATACAAACAGTGGGGGTACTACAGTTCCAAGAAAAGTCGTAAACGCTGTGCAATTTTGCGGCACTATTCATAGAGTTGACTGTATACGAACGTATATTTGAGTATTGTGCGACTTTGTGATATAGGGTCAACAAAAAATTTTTTGTGGTGTCAAAAGAAGAGAACTAAATGTAGAAGAAATATGCCAAAGACAAAATAAGTTTACAAAAATTGTTCATTAAGATGAACGAGTTTGTGTTCTGTGCGATATGACGCAAAACGACGCGAAACGACGCGTGTGTCAGTGTTGAGCCATGAGCGCGGTTGTTAGAGTTGAGCCACCCGAAATTTTGCAATTACAAAGCGTACTTGGAATAGAAATTCATTTTTTCACTTAAAGAGGTGTTAAAAACTTTATTTCTATTGGAAAGAGAAAAAAACAAATTTTTTAAAAACCTTTTTTCAATTTTGGATTTCGTTTATGAGGAATACACTACCGGTGGAAATGGTGCTATTAAAAAACACACCCGTACAAAAACAGTGATAACTCCGTCAGAAATAAAGCTAGATGCTTTTTTTAAATTGCATTGGAAAGCTTATTAAATTTCCAATAAAATGACTCTATTTTCATTTATATTACATAAATAGGAAGCGAGATATCATGTTATAAACACAAAAAAATAATTCTATTTTTTTGGAAATTTCTTACCCTGACTTGACTCTTGGCAAAATTTGGAAAAGTTTATGAAAAAATTGTTACCTTTACAGACTATTCTTTGTAATCTAAGCTTTAAATAGAGACCGAGAACAGCAAAAAATATTTACGGGTTCCCGAGAAATTACAAAAAGAGTCGGACCGTGCGAAGCAAAATTTTGAATCATCGATTTCTCTAATTCGCCGTTGAGTCAGTTGCGTGGCTTTGAAAAAAGTGTCGAAAATGAATTTCACAAAGTACATTCTTACTGGGATCCACTTTTTAATGTAATTTATTATATAATGATATTTCATTATACACGGAGAGAAATTTATAGTAGTGGGTAACATAATTGTGGTTAGGGTGACCATCTTTAATGCTACGTATACAGACAGCTATCTAGATAGTCACCGTTACCATCAATATCATCAGGAGTAACATCTTGGTAGTACGGGGTAGCATAACTATATTTTTTTTAGCATCTGGGATGATTGGGAGTAGCATAATGATAGTATCGTGTAACATCATCTTTTTAACATCAAAATCTGACTATCCATTTCTCTCAGTGTATTCATGAGCTGAAGTTTGTGACAAGACACAGTCTGGTTTGTGTATTTCCCAAACTCAGCCGTTTGTGGATACTACAACCGCCGTTCATAAATGGCACAGGAAATCTTGTAACTTTTATAAGTTATAAGTTTTTCCGTGTATAAAGAAAAGTCAAAACTATGCCCAACTCTAACAACACTCCCCTAAGTATTTAGAGCTAAGATATGTAAATTTGATATTTGTGATTTTTAAGAAATTTCTATGAGAATGGTAAACTGTCAAACATTTCCAATATGGCTGACCAGTTATATTCATTTTCTCTAGATTGAAGAAACAGTATGACTACTACATTGGAAATCATTCACTGAATTAGTTGCATAGATTCTTTGTATTATTTATTTTGAAATTAGCTATTCCTCATCGTAAAATTTTTTTCCGTGCAATTATATGTCGTCATCAAAGATACAAAATTTTTGCCATTAAATTGATAACAATGTGCCATTATTAACTTTGTTCCATCACTGGCAATTATATTTTGGCATTGAAGATTCAACAACTTTGCCTTAAACGTGCCATTATTGGTCCGAGATTCAGCCCAATCTTGGAAAATTAAGACATCTAACAATCGGATTCTTCATTAATCCAGCAATGGGACGTTTTGAACACCAGAAATGGTGCAATAACTTTTAAAGTTCACGGTAGTCATTACTGAACTTATGATGGGCCGTTTTTTCAGTTTTGGCATTTCGCATTTAGGTAATATTTAATTACTGGTAGGCAATTAAATTTAAATTTTAGAAGAGGCTCAAACTATCACACAAAAAACCTGGACTCATTTTTGTTGCAACTGAAAATGAGCCCATGTTAAAGGTCATATAACGTGGCGCCACCTACGAGGTTCATTTTTGTTGCGTTTCGATTTGAATAGCGTAGGCTACTCAATTTGAACCTAGGTTTTTCAGTGATTTTGTCCGCCTAAAATAGTCATTTGCTGCGCTGACCCAACAAATTACAAGAAATGAAACAAAACATGGCGGACTAAATCTATCTTTTACTACTTATTCGAAAGTTTCATTTTAAAAGCATTGAAACGAACTACCGATTCTAAAATTACACAAAAAATGTGTGTATTATAAATTGTCTGATTAAATCTATTTTTGTTCATTCTTCTATACTATTTATTTAATTTATTGTTTATTTTATATATCCAGTTATAAATATTTTATATTAAAAAAAACATGAAATATCCAAAAATACTCGATATTTCATGTGCGGAAAATCTGTCTCGTCACTCAATTTTAATTTCGTGTATTAGTAAAAAGAAAAACAAGAAATCCTTAACGAGATTACATAAAATAATTCCAGACGAATGACCCAGTCATTCGACCCTATCCGTTCAGTGTGTGACTGGAAGTCAACCAGACAAACATAACGTCTGATATAATCTATTGCACACGCGGTGTATATTTTGAGTGTATACGTTGTCATGGCAACGAGAATACTAGTGAGTACTATGACCACACAAACGAATGGTTCTTTGTCGTTATATAGGATAGACACGATTGCATAGAGTGAAAGAGAGAAACCCGACGTCAGACCGACGCTAGACGGAGTCTCACGATTTTAGCCGAAAGCGTCGCGACGGTAACCACGTTTCTACCCTCGGTTTAGTATGTCGTGCGGGCGGGTTGATTTGCGAACGTGTTTTGATCGCGGTGTGTGTGTCTTGCCGTCACCTCGACTATACTTTTTAAACTCGTGCAATGTGTATCGTGATATGTACCTGATCCATCAAGGATAACCTACTGATCGGGGCTTCCCAGGGAAACGGAGAAAAAACGAAACCCAAGGTAAGAAACTTGGTTAGTTTTAAAGGAAATCGTTTTCAAAAAACCAGACATAATACAGACATTAAACCAGTTGGGCGTCCCGTTTGCATTTTCTTCCCGGTGCATTGACACTGTCGGAGAGGCACGCATGCTTTTACCGGGAAGTGAAGATGCCTCTGCGAATAGGTTACACATAACCCTGTCTTTTTCCTTGACATTTAGATGAAAATCATCATGTGCTTATATTAATATACTTCTTGGTACTTTATACTACTAAACAGTCTGGCGCCAAAATAATTCCTTTTTCTTTTTCTATTTTAAAAATCCCTTTCATCTACACTGACACAAACCACGTGTGTGCAACTTTCAACACACATCAAATAGTTATTATTATTATCGAAATTATAAATATTGTCAAGAATTTTCTACAATAACTGCAAAAATCATTACAACATAAAATTACAAATTCACTACATTTGGAATGAAAATGTGAAACTGTTTAAAATTAATACCAAAGTAGATTTACCTAAAGAACTACAAAAAACATTTTCTCGGATAGCTATAAATTTTGTGCTTGCCTTCCAAGAAATATTTATTCTGCTAAATGTTTTAGTTTCTTCCAGGTAAGATCTCTTCTCCCATGAAAGTAGTTTTAGAATTTTCCACAGAGAGAATTGTTTCTTTAATCAGAAGAGACCAATTTTATATAGTTTCACGGAAACTTGTTTCTAAAACTATTTTTTTATCGTTCTATTTACAAAAATATTTCTCTACAGTTTTCTTTATAAATATGTTTCTTAAATTGACACTCTAAATTAAAAAAGAAATAGAGTTTCATTCTTTTTGTACCTGCTTTAATTTAATTATTTATTAAGGATGTTATTTGTGATCAAAATTATGAAAGTCAAGTGCAGATCAGCTGAAGGGCATGTGGGAAATATTCTTCGAAAAAAGTGATTTCCCGCGTGTCATCTAACTCCTAAATAATTTGAGGTATCTCGTTCGGATTTATCAGGATAATTAGAGGAAAGTGTGCTGATGAAGAATATTCTCGAAATTTGCAAGTAATTTTTGAAACCAGTATTGAAAAACAAAGTTGAAAAGTTGCATTTTTGGCGAAAGTGATGGACAATAAGGCGGCGAGCACACAGACAAGTGGATCTATGTGTCAGTGGTCAAGAAGGTGGCGCCAATTCGAGCTGGTGGCCGCGGCTGAACTAAGAAAACTACTCCACCTCAAATTACAAAACTTTCAATCGTTAATAAAATAATTTCCTCGCAAAATTATTGCTAAATCACTCCTCCAAATATTAACCCGAAATATTTTATCCTCTCAGAATGAGACGTCAATTCCAACGCGGGTCCCAGAGCTTTTCTCTATATTTTCCAAAAAATACCGACTCAAAATATTATTTTCCTTCTAACTCTTTGCCGTACATAAGTTTTCCCCACCTCAGAAACAAGCAGTTTGACAGTTGAATCACGTGGAAAATATCAGGGCCGAATGTTAGTTTGATTTTGAGGTTATGTTTACATAGGATATTTATGTTTGATAAAAGTCTTTAACAATTAAATTTACCATTTTTAAATTGTAATAAATTGCATATATACATTTGCACTTTACACAAAAAATCGTATTTTTAGTGATCAATTAGTATAATTAAATATAATTTATTGTAAAATATAAATGGGTTCCAATTTTAAGAAGGTACGATCCTGCAAGTTTAGACACTTACATACTCACACATAACTAACTTATCAACACAAGCATAAACGCCTCTTCTCATTGGCTGTTCCCCAAAAAGGACTCTAGACGACATTTCGTAACATATCAACGGCAAAGGGTTAAATGAGACGTCGATCACGAAACCATTTTTTCTCCCACCTGCCCTTAACCCTCGGAGAACACACCTCTTTTTTAGACCATTTTTCAAAGATCAACCAATTTTAAACTGCTCATCTGATCAAACTAAAGAATTTTTTTTAATATATTTAAACTCTGTAGAATAAGTCTGTATACTTGAAAATCCATATTAAAAATATTAAAAAAAGATAAAAAGATTTTCGTAAAAAAGCGAGGGATCAAAAAGACCCCCATGTGTTCTCCGAAGGTTAAGACACATCACTGGACGTTCTGTAATTAAAGCAGATCTGTTTCAGAAAATATCAAAAACGCTCTGCATAAGTAATTGCAAAAGTGGTCGTTTCGTCCAAGCAAAACAGAAGAGTCTTGTAATCGCTACAGTTACAATTTTTTTACGTATTTTCTACATATTTATTTATTTATTTTAATAAATAACAAGTTTATTCATTTCATTACTATTTAGCTTCCTCATTATGATAAACTTTCTTATTGGGAAAGCTTAAAATGTCCATGATGAGAATATAATTTTTAAATTATTTTACGAATCTTTGAAAAAATGTAAACTTTATATATATATATATATATATATATATATATATATATATATATATATATATATATATATATATATATATATATATATATATATATATATATATGCATGTCGCTTTATTTTATTGTGAAATATTTATTTTAAAGTGTTAAGAGTGGTGTTACAAAATTTAAATTGTTAAGGATTAATAAAAATTTCTAGAAAGAAATGATTATTTTAAAAAATACAAAACCCGATTTTTTAATCAGTTAATATAAATAAAATAATTTGTTAATCAGGTAATTTAAACCAATTTAAATACTAATTAATGAATAAAGAAAAATATTTTACTAATTAGATTGACAATATTTTTATCGTATGTATTTGTAATTTATCAATTATATCAGTAAATCAAATTAAAAAGAGTACAGAAAAGTTAAATCTAAAAAAAGTCGAAGGCCTGCAAATCGATTGAAATGCTACATAACCATTGGCTTCTGTCTCGTATAAAAGAATTTAATTATATTATACATATATATGTATAGTACTTAAAAAGACAAAAATATATATATACTAGGGGGGCTTTGCCCCCCCTGCACGTCAACCCCTTCTTTTTTACTTGGTTTCATCTTGATTTTTTTACATCTTGTCTTTTTTGTGCATAATTTTATAATTTTTATTACTTGAAAGAGAACAAATTTTTACAAACTAAGTATTTACATTTTTGCTCCTTACAATATTGTTTCTTACATTTTTTGAAATGTAATTTAAAATTTATATAAATTTATTTAAACGATTAATTTTAATGGAATTTTTTAAAAATAGATGTCGCTTTATATTAACTTTATTGATTGAAACTTAATATTAACCCCTTAACTGTTTGAGGAAAATACAACATGATTGTCCCAAAATGCCCAGCGGAATCTGATACTTTTTCAAATAGTATAATATATTTAAATTATAACTAATTATTCAATTATTTTCTAAAATATCATTAATGACCCTTTTAATTTCTTATAATATTGATATAAAGAAAAATATCTATCAATTTATATATACAAATTATATTTATTTTGAGTGATAGTGAACACGACCCACGGGTGGGTCGGAAACAGTTATGGCCATACTTTTTCACGACCCACCCGTGGGTCGGAAACAGGCAACGGGTTAAGATTACTTTAATTCTTTATAATTATGAAGCATAGACTTTGAATAACTTTGAAGTTCGGTTCAAATATAATATAATTTTTGAAGAAACTTTACAACTTATTACTTATAGATATAGATTACATTTATATTTCAGATCAATTTTTTTGTTATTTAACAACCCTTAACTATAAAAATATGTCACTTTTGATCTACATTTTGACGCATAGTATCGACTCTTTAGAGGGCCCTCAGGTCAAAAAGAGGCCTCGTAAGACCACCCTCATGAGTAACGTTACGTTATTTCAAAATGAAGATCAAATTTTACGTATTTTCCAACCTACAGATCTGAAAGCGGCCTCATAAGAACCCTTCTAAAGGGTCATTACCCTAGGTCAAAATTTAGTTCAAATGTGACTTATTTTTTAACCTGTAGGTCGACAATTTATTCAAATTTTATGTAAACTTTGACGTAAGGGAAGAAGCCTAATCTGCCGTACTTGGTAAAAACTTAGTTAAGTCATATTTTAGTGAAACCGAGAAAATGACGAAAAACTGTTTGTATTAATAAACCTAATATAGTATAAAAAATTATTTAATTTAACTTTACTTCCTAGGTAAATTGATAGAGTTCTTTTTAATTCTGCAGTCAAAAATGAATTATTCAAACAAATTATATTAAATAATGGACTTAAGTGTTATTTTTAAAAAGCAAAACTTAGTTAAATTGACTTCGGGGGTGCTCAGCGAAAAGGTAGTCGAGTTCAGGCCGCCGATCAGAAGCAAGAACTCAGTTAACTCCACACGTGGTGGAATCTTATGACTTAAGGAGTCTGCTTTCGAAACACAGTGTCTGGCTCATGCCACTTTTCAAAAGAAGAACTCAGTTAACTCGACTGAAGGTTTTTGCTTCAAAAAGACAGCTGACTTTTCACTATGTTTTTGATAGCAGAAATATTATGTCGACTTGATTAAGTTTTTGTTTCTTATCTTATGCTCGAGCTCATTTCCTTCTACGATTTTTACACTATACGTAACTCGAGTTACTATACTTTTTCTCAAGTATTTCCTTATTTTCTCGATTTTCGCAGATTTTTAATAATTATTCTTTGCAATAAATAATTAAAATAAAATTTTTTAATAACATAAGTAGATGCAGTTTTTTTTACGAATCCATTGATATAAAAAACTCATTTTTCACAAAAAAGTGACTTAACCAAGTTTTTACCAAGTACGGCAGTAATGGGGTCGCTTTTTTGACTTGTAGATAGATCAGATTTGACCTAAATGTTGACCTAGGGTGAAATCCTTTAAAGAGGGGTATAAGGCTACTTTTTGACTTGTAGGTTAAAAAATAAGTCAAAATTGACCTATATTTTGACCTGGAGTTATCATAAACATACTATTATGGGGGCCCTTAGATGACGGACCTCATGAGGGGTCCTTAGAAAATCCTGACACTGCGGCGGCGGAATGTTT